AATCCGCCCGTCTCGGCCTCCCAGAGAGCTAGGATTACAGGCGTGAGCCACCACGCCCGGCCAACCCTCTATTCTTGTAGACAGAATTAGGTAAGGTTCCCCTGGAAACCTCAAAAAATGAACCGTACACATAATTCTCTAACAAAAGACAACTATTTGCTGTAACAATAAATACTGATGCGGGACTTCACTCGTGCTCTCACAGTTCACAGGAATATTGAAGACTCCCTAACTCCCCCATCGTTTAAACTGTACTTTGTCTCCATATCAATTATTTCTCCATGTATATTATTTCTTTCTTTATTTCCTATTATTTCCAAATCCCTTGCGACGATCCTGCCTTGGGACCTGTTTTTATGGGAGAGTATCTAATTCCCGGCAATATGGGAAAAATATAACTCTTAAATGCTGATGCCAAGAGTAGTGTTAAAATTTTGTATTATGGAATTTGAGTCATGGGAGAAAGACCAGGGCTAGGGCCCACATATACCCAAATGATCCAAGCACTAAAAAAGTGTGCATTTTCTTTGGATAATTCTACAGCTGGTATGCACTTCCTAGGAGGAAGCACAGTTCTAACAAGATGATAGCTTCACAAATAACATGTCATTTACAAGTCTCCAAAATGTAATAAATGGATCAGACTTTAAATAGCATGGCTATATGAAGATAACAAGTTGCCTTCTTGAAATCACTACATTTCAATACTATTTCAGATTTTTTAAAAGACATGCATGTTGGCTTATTTTGGAGTCCACTTTGCAGATCTGTAGTCCTATTATACATGACATAGAGTCTACACCATATACCACTGTGGGAGAATAGGGAAGCCCTAGCCTGGAAAATCAAGAGGGTCGTGTTCCAGTTCTGGTTTTGCCCCTTATTAGTCACTCTAAGCAAGACACCTTCTCAGGGTCTATGTTCTCTAAGGTCCTTTCCAACACTGTGATTCTAAGATGCCTTGCAGGTTCATTTCAGATAATATAACACCCATAGTCTGTTTATATTAAATCACTTCTGATGCATTTATTATCAGAAACCATCCAACATGAAATATGAATTACTACAATGTTTTACTCCATATGTTTCAAGTCAGAAGCAGTAATCAGAACTCAACTATAACATTGTAATTTTTTAAATCAAAATAAGATGATCAGAATCATAAACCTTAGCATTCACAGTATTGAACCTAGAAAAAAATAGAATTAATAGAATGTTAAAACCAAAAGAGCATTTGACAGAAAAGGGGGGAGGTGGGGGGGAGAGAAAGAGAGACAAAGAGATTGCAACATCTTATGAAGCATGTTTCAATGACAATTACTCCATAACAATTATGCAGTCAGAATTTGTGAATGTAATGTAACAAGCTAGGGAAAAAAATCCAGCCAAATGTCAAAATACAGAGCCAAAATGATTCTAAATTTTCTCAAGACACGTTTCGAGAAAGAGAAGAATTTTTCCCCATTTCCCCATCCCTCAGTTCCAAAGGGGAACATTTTAAATTATACACATCTCTGGTAATATTTTATAGAAGATAAATGCCCAGATACTTACAATTTAACTTAATATTTCCTCTTCAATTTGTTTTTTATAGCAGATATGTTAATTTCATTTTGAACATGGTATGCTAAATATCCTGAGCTTCCAGGAATGAAGTCACGTAGTTCCCCAAGGAATTTCTTCATGGCAT